CAAAATAGTATGTTCAGAAAATGGCATACTATTCAGCCTTAGAGGAACTTCTGACACATGCTACAATTTGGATGAACCTTGAAGACATTATGCTAATAAGCCAGTCACAAAGAAAATACAATTTTGGGATAATTTAATATAATTTTGATATAACTTAATATAAATTAATATATTATACGTAATGTTTCAAGACCCTACTTAATACCAGGTGTGGTGGCACATGCCTGTAATCCCAGCATTGGGGAGGTTGAGGCAGGAGGATTGTTTATGTTGAAGACTAGCCTGGGCTACAAAATGAGCTCAAGGCCAGCCTGAACTGCATAGCAACATTCTACTCAAAAAGACAAAAAAAAAAAAAAAAAAATCTTGCTGAGACAAAAAAGTAGGTTGGTTACTGGGGCAAATGGAAGATGAGATTGGGGAATTAATGTATAATGTAGGTGTTTCTGCTGGGAAGATAAAAAGTTCTGGATATATATTGGTGGTGATGGTTACCTAACAATATGAATGTAGTTAATTTTACAGGATTGAGGCTGAAGCAGGAGTATTGCTACAAGTTCGAGACCACCCTAGGCTAAGTCAGTTCAAGGTCAGCTTAAACTACATAGTGAGGCCCGATCTCAAAGAATAAATAACAATGAGCCTAGAGTGAAGGGTGTGCTACTCGATTTTTAAAGTTCTTAGCACAGCCAGGAACAGTGGTACAGTGCTTGGGATGCTGAGGCAGGAAGATCATTGTGAAGTCAAGGCTTGCTTGGGTTATGCAGTAAGATACTAAAAAGGCCAGTCTGAACTACAGAGTGAAACTATCTAAATAAAGTTTTTCTTAGAAATCATTTCCATGAACATAAATGTTAAAGTAATGAACATTTTTTTTACACTTGATATTATATAATTACACGTAAAATTATCAGGCTACGTGGTAATCACAGAGTTCTTTTGGAAGGGAGGGAAAGTATTGGTGATCTTCTTACTTCTAGTCTTTCTATCTCCAGCCCAGGTTTGCTGAGGAAAACAAACTGCCTGACATTAAATCAAACCCACTATATCCTAATTCCTACTAAACTATCAAACAGGCCTCCTGTGTGCTAAGCAAGCAATCTACCACTCGGCTACACCATATTCCTCAGACTTATACATGGATTTAATGTGCTTAAAACTATCAGATGCAATTCCTACATTAGTTTCAAAATCCACAGTTATACTGAAGAATGGCTATCTCTGATATTGATGAACATAATACTGAACTCCCTGCTGCCATTCCCAACACTTAAATTTTTAAATAGTACATTCACGTATTCATTCATACATCCTGGGGATGGACCCCAGTAACACTGTACCAGAGTCTCATCCCTGGTCCCCCAACTTTTTTGGGAGGGTGAGAGAGTCACTAAGTTCACCAGGCTGATCTCCAACTTGCAATCAACCTGCCTCAGTCTCCTGAGTAGTTGCAACTGACAGGCGATGGACTACTGTGCCCAGTAATAGTACAGCTTTTAAATTTCTGACAACACTGCAGCTTATATTCAGAAACAAAAGTTAAATGTGTTTTCTGATGTTTGTGACTAGAATTGCTCACATTTCAAAGTTACACTTTTCACCCGGAAACAAAAATGAAACTCTTTTGGTCACTTTCTTGTTGCTGGCATAAAATATCTAACATTCACAATTTAAGTAGGTAAGGTTTATTTTGACTCAGTTTTAGTCCATAGTTGGCAGCCTCAAACTGAGAAAAGGACTGACCAAGAAGAAAGCTGCTCTTATCATGGAGAAAAAGAAGTAGATCAAGAAAGGAGCTGGGGAGATGGCTCAGTAGAATAAGCGCTTCCCCGGCAAGTGCAAAGGCCTGAGTTCGATCCCCAGTTCCACCAAAAAAAAGAAAGGAGATGCATCTTCTAGGTCACACCCAGTGACTCACCTCTAACCAGGCCTCCACCTAAGAATACAATCAGTAGTTCAACTCATTAGCAGAGAAATCCACTGACCAACACTGAGTCTCTGTGATCCTATCACCTTTTAAATACTCTACCTTGGAACACAGAAGGTTTTTTGGGTGGACATTCTAGAGCTGAAGCATTAACACTAAGTCACCTTTTAGCTCTGAATTTTAAATTTCATTATTTCTGGGCTGCAATCTTAGCAAAAGTCCCAGGTACAATTAAAAATGTTTTAAAACTACCTTTCACTTTCAAAAAATAAAAACATTTAAAGATGGGCTCATGCCTGTAATCCCAGTGCTTGGGAGGCTGAAAAGAGGAGAATTACCATGAGTCCAATCTGTGTAGTGAGATCCTATAGACCTTGTACTAAGTACATAAAAAAAACCCCACAGGGCATACTGGTCCCAGCAAGAGGGTAGTGAGGGATAAAAATGATCAGAGAACCAGCATAAACAAATCTCCCAAAAAGAAACGTAGATCACTACATAGACCACTTAGGAAGCAAAAAATATTTTCAGAACCCAACAGTAATACAAAATATTGAGCAGAAATTTGTTTTGCAGCTATGTTTCAGTATTAATGTTTGCACTAGGAGAATACAAATATGAAAACAAAGACCTAGCACCTACATTCATAAAGCTGTCAGAAAGGATAGGGAGACAAAGCAAATAAGTATATGGACAAATATAATACAACCGTAACATGAAAGAAGTATCTAATAAAGAATATAAGAGACTTTCGTTAATAGTTAAACAACTGTGGGGCCAGGGAGATGGCTCAGCAAAATAAGGCGCAAGGGCCTGAGTTCAATCCCTGAATCCCACCCTCAAAAAAAAAAACAATTGTATGGTGGCACACTGGTACAAAGGCTAAAACAAGAGGACTGCAGTTTGAGGCCAGCCTGAATTGCATAGCAAGACTCTATCTAATAAAAATCAAAAACATCAAGTTCCAGAGAAACATAGGGTGAGCCTCAGGAAAGGCTGTAACCTAATCTCTCAGGAAGCTAGGAGGACCACAAGTTCAAGGACAGGCTGGGCAATTTATCAAGAATTCCTCTCAAAACTATAAAGGAAAAAAATTAAAAATAAATTACAAGGGACAACCCTGCTTGGATCCCCCTTCTGTCCCTCTCTAGGACATGAGCGGTCTTCGCCCTAATAAATATATTCCGCTTTTAAAAATAATTACAAAACAAAACTATGAATAGCTAGAGATTGTAACTTAGCAGCTGAACACCACTAGATCTAGATTGCCTCTGTATAGCTGTTAAAATTTTTAAAATATTATTAAAACTGTACATTCAAAAAATGAGGAGCCAGGTATGCTTATAATCCCAACACTCAGGAGGCTGAGGCAGGAGGACTACAGGAAGGATTGCTGTGAGTTTTTGAGACCAGCCTGGGCTACAAAGTGAGCTCAAGGCCAGACTAAACTGCATAGCAAGATCCTGTCTCAAAAAGAACCCCCCCTCCAAAAAAAAAGGAAAGAAAAAAGAGAAAGGGCTGAACTTGTGGCTCAGTGGAAGAACACTTGCTTAGCACTTAGTCCTGGGTTTTACCTGCATCATGACAAATACACACATACCCCTTATATTACTAATGATAAAGTAATATTTTAACTAGATAGGAATTTCTAACTACTATACAAGAAAAGCAAAGAGAAAAGAAAGTAGAAAAACATACAATTAAAAGAACAGCAAAATTCTGACAGCGGGATATTCAACTTTGCTAAAATGTTGGTTTTAATTTCCAAAAGAACTCCTAACAAGTCTAACCCAATGCTCACCCTAGACTTTGTCATATGTCCATTTTACAGTTAATAGTACTGATAGTCAACCCACTGTCAACTGGATTGTACATACAGAGTTATAACTTTCTATTTTTCATACCATATTATTCACTACTAGAATTCAAGGTTTCAAATTTTTTTTTTGGTTAAGTTTGGTCTTTTTGAGACAAGGTTTTGCTATGCAGTTCAGGCTGACCTCAAACTCATGGTGATCCTCCTGCTTCATCCTGGAATTACACATGTGCGCCACTATGCCTGGTGAAAAACCCTGTTTTAATGAAGCAGTGACTTATTCTTTCCACAAAATGCAACACATTGCAAAATCTAGTTAACTGTGTAAACTAGGAATACTTTAAATGCAACATTGTATACATTAGTCACTATTTTAAGTTCTACCAGCAAAAATCCCTAAAACTACATTTTATAAAGTTAACCAAAGTAGAAACACTCCCCATTGTCTTCTTTTGTCTACCATCAAATCTGATCCTAACTCTAAAACACTTCAGTTATTCCTTGTCTCTCTATTCCACTGTCATAGCCTTAGCTGGACTCACTGCCTCAGGTGTTTTACCTACCCAAACCATAACAACCAAAATATATAGCATTATTACCTCAAACATCTCCTGAGAATCAACTGCCTCAGAACAGCTGCTTCAAGATTATCCCACCGTAAGAATGGCACCCATCTGGAAGGCTCTGGCCACCATTTCTATCCACACATGGAGAAAACAGGACCAACTTACACCCTTCACCTGAGGGTCCCATGCTTATGCTAAATTGAGGCCTTCTGAAAAGAGCTATACTGCTCTTTTTCAAATCTGAATTTAATCATCTCATCTTACGTCTCAATTGTGAAAAATCAATACCTTCTATCAAAGTTTAAGCACACTATGTAATTCAGACTCTGGATATTAGAAACTGTGGCAATTAAGAAGAAAATATAAACAGAGTACATTGAAGGCTGCAAGCTACTTAAACAGTATTCCCACTAAACACAATATCCACCGAAAAATAAAATGTTTAAAAATACAGTCTTATACTTGAAAAACGGTAAAATTTTAAAAAACGCATTTTCAATTTCTCATAATAGCTCTGTCCCTACAGATTTTATTCACGTATGCATGGAAAAAAAAAAAAAAAAAAAACTTTTCAGAAGAGATAAGAAGACAAAACAAGTATCTTCAAGAACGTGGGAGAAGAAACTAGAGGCCCAGGAGGACAGCGAGATCCCAGGGGCAAGCATCTGAAAGACCTGCAGCGCAGACCGACCTTCAGTCGTTTGATCATTTCGTCGGTAGTGATCTTGTCGGTGATCTCCTTCACTCCGGGAGGGTAGGCGATCTTTCCGTCAGCACTCACGACGCCACAGAGAGCCGTGGCAGGCTTGGGCTGCGCGGTGAAGTCCATCCTGCGGGATAACTTTTCTTTCACAGTCCTCTACCGGCCTCTATCGGTCAGAAAACCAAAGTTCAGCGAGAAAGGGGCGACTTTGTAACCTTTTTTTTTTTTTTTTTTTTTTTAAATTAAAAAAAATCTCTAATGTGAAGAAGACGCTTTCTCGCCAGAGGTCCGGGCTTCGGCGGCGGTCCGGACACCCCACTCCTCCCCGCGGCTGGGACCCCGCTGCCGCCTGCCCGCCCGCGCCCGCCCGGGGCCCGCCAGCTCTCCAACACCAGCCGCTGCGGCCGCGGGAGGAGCCGAACGCTCCCGGAGTTTCCGAGTCCACGTTCACAATGAAATCCGCCCGCCGGAACCTAGGTCCGAAGTTGGGCGGCACTGGAAGGCCCCCGCTCGGCCCAGGGAAGCGCCGAGTCCCCACCTGGCCGGCCCCCTCCGGGGAGGGAGACGCGAGGCCTAGAGGGCTCGGCTTAGGCCGCAAAACTAGGGACCCGGCCGGACCCGCGCCGCGGCGGCTCTGGAACAAAACACCCGGCCTGGCCGCCGTGCGGGCCCGGCAGGTCCGGCCGCGAGCCCTTCCCGGGTCCCGCTGCCCGCGGGGGGCAAGCAAGCTGCCCGCAGCCCAGCCCCGCGCCAGGAAGCGGCTGACGCGGCTCCGCACTTCGCATTTTGTTCGCTCAACTTCGGCCGACCGAGCCCTGCGGTTCCTGCTGCCCGCGGCCGCCCCGCTCCGCGCCGAGGCCCGAGCGCCACCCCCGGGCGCCAGCCG